AATGGTGGCTGTCATAAAAACTTGATGGATTTATTCAAACATAAATTAAACATTGAAGAACAGTAAAATTTATAATATGTTATTTGGTGCATATATTTAGCAAAATTCGCCTCTCTACAGTTTATTTTTCTATCTGACTAATGAGTTTATGGTCACAGAATATGCTTTCTGAGGTAAATGTGACGTTACGTGACATTGTATACAAGCCGTTATATTAACGTCTTTGTGAGGCTGAAACACTGATTGAGCAATTACATGAGACAGGATACAGCTTGTAAAGTTATACTCTTTCTTTTAACTTACCTTCGGATGTTTATTCATGTTTATTTCGTGCTGAAGCTGGTATTAATGTGAAGATGATCAGTTCACGTGCGCTATGCGCTACCGCATCTGTCTGTTGAACTGAGGCGCTACTGTGATCTCTCACTCCACATTAAACAGCGCCAAAACAGCATTTATTGTTTGAATACTGCAATACAATGGACAGAATTTGAAATCTGAGACTTTGTTTCATATTAAAAGTACCAAAGCACAATGCTTATTGCGATATATTGGATGGGAAGTGCCCTTTCAACGTTCCGTCCATTAACTGAAAACAGGCTAGACTAATTCTTAGGATTTAAGAATCGATACCGTTCCGTAAAAATGAGAATCGATTAATAGAGATATCGATATTTTTTTACCCAGCCCTAATACACGATATATATAAACCTGCTGAAATGTTTTGAAATCACTTGTACCCTACCGGATCGAAAAAAACAAAACAGTCTTTCACTCTGCCTGTGTCAATCTGAGTCTTGTTAAAGTTTTAAATCCCTGCCGCCAAGATGCTCCTCTGTCGGTCACGGATTATGGAAAGTGAAACTTAAATCTATAGGGGTGGTTGGATTTATATTATTTGTATGGATTTACAGCATTATTTTAATAGGCTGTATATTAACTTATTGGGAGAAAACCAGTAGTTCTATGTGAAGTCAGACATTTGAGCACCCCCATATAGCCAAAACGGCATAATCATAACATCCCGCTCCTCCTATTGAAGCATCGAATATTCGACTATTCGGGGGTAACCCCTAATACATATATTTCTTTTACTTTCTGCACAACACTTTATACATTGGATTGATTTTAATAACTGAAGTGTGTACCAAACAGACATTCCTATAAGAAAACTTGGTATTGGCAGATACTTAAAATTCAATGACCGGGATCAGGTGGGGGGGGGGCAAAAAAAAATCGTCACACCCCTATCCATTAATATAAAGTTATAAACAAATATGAATAAGTTCTCTGAAATTTAGTCAGCAGAGTTACAAAGTAGAGAACCTTCTTTACCTTCTTAAAAAGAACAACACCATCCTTGGCCACTTCAAACTTTGAAAAGACTGCATCATCTGAGATGATGCCAAAGGGGATGTCATCCACAGCCTCTGCGGTTTTAATGAAGGCCTTGGCATCTTCTGATTCAACATCAACTATAGGAGATGTTCTACATTTACATTTGGCACATTATTTTTTTTTTTCAAAGCACCTTGCACTGCATTTCAGGCATACATTTCATCGGTCCATGCATTCATTTGGAAATAAACACGTGACCTTGGTGTGCTAATCCCCAGTTCTACTTTTTGAGCTACAGAAAATGCGCTAATTAAAAACAAACAAAAAAAATTATATAAAGCTATTAAATACAGAGTAAACACAACTAAAGTGCTCCTTTCATGTATCCTCACCAATTTATGACCACTGGGCAGGACCGACATATTGTCAATGTGAATGACATGTCACAGTTTCAAAGGTAGTCTTAATTATTATGCTGTTTTTAAATGAGTGAGGAGCGAGCACCACAGCTTACAGCAGGAACTACTGATGTGACACGTCAACAATTACACTGTGGTTCGGCTTTTGATCAAGTCTGAGTTCTTATGACATCACCTGATACAGATGCCCTGATAGAGTCCTTCCATCGAGGACTCCAGATAAGACAAAGATTAAACATTCTGGAATTTTGTTTTCTGTAATCCCACAAGGAATCTGAAAAGTGGGTGTTACTTTTTTTTTTTAGACCTAAAGACATCTGAAAGTCATGGAACTTGCATTTGCTGAGGCAGGTCTGGTCTGCAGGAGTAAGACTGTAATAAACACAGCCATGGAGAGCAGCCTACAGCAACCAGACCACAGGCAACGTGAGGAACTGCACGTTGAAGGAAAGGGGGAGGAACCTTCTACAAACAGGCTGGAACTCAGGGCTTCCACGTACAGAATGACATGCATGTCTTCAGCAGTTAGCACTCACATTCATGGTATGCAGACCACTGACCTATCTAAACTGAATTATGGTTTACAGTATGAGATGGCATCAATACATCTCAGTTACACTTCAGCTATTCTAACCAAAACAAACCTGTTAGAACCGTTTGTGCACTTACTGATTTCCTTCGATCTGGTTTAAAAAAAAATCTTGTTAATGATTTTGAAATCATTTGACTTTTTAACAAAAGCATAAGTCAAAAGCTGAAGCCAGTCTAGTAGTCCATACACAAAGATGGACCATGGATATTATGTAGGAAAATTGTGGCTGATATCTCTCACCAGAATACTCCTTGGGCTTCTCCTTCTCTCCTCCCTTAAAGAACTTGATGGTGGGATATCCACGAACACCAAACTCCTGAGCGAGTTCAGATTCCTCTGTTGCATCCACCTTTGCTAGTTTGATGTCTGAGCCTTCAGCTTTCAGCATACCAGCTGCTTTGGCATATTCGGGGGCCAGGGCCTTGCAGTGCCCACACCATGGTGCATCTGCAATTAGCAAAAAATGGTTAAATTCAATAAAACTGACATTTACTGTCACTGCATGTTAGTGATTTTACATTCATTACTCACAAACCACATTAGCAGTAATTTGTCTGAATGACTGTGTTAGTGGTACACATGAATAAAAAGAATGTATGTTTATTCTAGTGTTCAAACCCAGTAAAACTGGATAAACTAAATAAGTAGGCCAAACTTATTACTCTAATCTTTCTCAACACGTCATATCTCACAACATGGCATGTTATTAAAGTCAAGACCAAAGTTCAGTGGTTATAGAAAATACACATCAAATACTCCTTCACTCTTTTATCAAATAAAACACTAATGAAAGACTGTACAGTTTACACTTTCATTACATTGTTCACATGAAAAGTGTTTTTAAATACCAAATTCAATGTTGAACAAATGTTATTTTTCTGATGTACACGTCAACCTAGCCCGGGGCCGCTGGAAAGTCCGGCCCATAATACTCGCCGTCATGCCTCGCATTATGACGAAACACTCGTGGAGGCTAGTGATTGGGCAACTCGAGAGTCTATCACGTCACAGTATCAGGATATACTTTGAGAGTGCCCAATGAATTTAGCCCGGTAAAGCGCAGCTAAACAAACCTAGGAGCCCGGTTACACACAAGTTTGAGAAGACTTTTCAGGTTGTAAACTCATTCATGCTTGCCCATAACATACTGCATCTCATTTGCATGAAGTGGCGAAACCGAAAAACAAAGCAGTAGGAAATCGAAAGTAGAAAAACAAGTGAAAGTGCAAATCAATGCATTTATTATTTTCAACACGAAAGGAACTCCGAGCTACTGATCCAAGGCTGCTGAATCTCCCTGAATACGTACTTACGAATCTACCGACTTGAATCGAATGCATTATTCGTAAAGGGATTCAACGTACTTTTGCCTTGTTAAAATAGAAAGTTTTGTGGCGAGTGGCAAAGACGTCTTCAAATCATTAACGTTACATTAGAACCACTTCTCTGAACGCTTTCAAAATTTCGTTCTTACATTACGGTTTAATATTATGATTAAGATTTGGTTAGCACACGTCTGTTACTTGAGTTATGATTGCAAGAGATTAAGTAACGTTACTGCTGCAGCAAATCAAGACTAAGAATAAAAAAACAATTCCCATTTCACTGAGAGTTGGTTTCGTTTTGCATTTTCCTCATGCACAAGCTATCGACATGAACACAGCAACGACAATTCAAACAAAGTTGGCGACTACTTACAAAACTCAACAAGGATATTTGGGTAAGTTTTGAGCGCCTCCTCGAAGTTACTTTTCTTCAGTACGAGCACGTCCTCCTCCTCAGCGATATCAGCCGCGCTCACAGCGGCCAGTGCGCACACAATCAACAACTTCAGCATCTCGGATCACCTCCAAACGTGCCAGCTATTTATAATACCGTGATGGAAACCGGGGAGATTGTTAGCGCGGCGGGTCTTCTTTCACCCTTTAACAGTCTGAAGTGTCGCTTGAATTTGGTGTCTGCCGCTAATAACGTGGCAATGTGTGCAGGAAAAAGAGAGGACAGCGCTGCTGCGCATGCGCATTTATTAGGCCGAACGCAGTTCGTGTTGAATTGTGAGTGGACCGCGCGTCTCCTAGCACCTGGAAGTGAATCTGCCAGTCTTGAATACGAATTCACAATTCTTTTCTGTTGTTATTATCAAGAATTGCTATGACCCCACTTTGTATAGCTAACTTTACTACAATGACAATAACACAATATTATGCATGAAAGCTGACTGTTTTTTTTCAAAAGGTTTTCTCCTCTAGAGAAACATTCTCAAAATTACAGAGTGAATATCAGTAAACTGTATGGGGAGATCTTGTTGGTTGAGAAATGTTAGTAACAGGATCTAACACTAGCTCTATTTGGTTAACAAAGAATCGTCAGCTAAGAAAAACAAATGCTGCTTTGTTTAATTTACAGGGCAATAAGAAAAACATTTAATGTAGCATTGCATACTTGTGTCAGATGTAGTGTTTTGTTAAATTAAGATGTCCAAATGTTGCTTCCATTAACATTGTAGTTCCTGATTCAGTTAGCATGCCATCATAATAAAAACATCAAAATCAGTAAATGGACAAGTCAGGTGAAACTTAATGCAGAGACGAAGGAACTGATCATCTCTCACTACACTCTCGCTTGCTAAATATAAACACTCATAGCGGAGGCATAGAAACACTGTTAAGCTGTAATTGTTCTCTAATCAGCTCAATGGTGGCACATATGGGTACTGGGAGATGGCAAATTATTTTTCTTTTTATCAAGGATAAAAATACAGTTGTTGCCATGTCAACTCCATGTCAACATTTTCAAACTCACCTTGAGAACAGAGATTCTGCATATAGATTCATATAATATCTGACATTAAACTGAGGTGTAAGGATTTAAAGTAGGCCTTTGCAAGTACATTTATTAGTGATAACACTATCAAAGTATATACTGTTGTCAATTAATGAAAAGTATTTCATAACATTGTAAGACAATGTTGAAAGAAATCTAATTTATTATTTAGGAACATTTAAACAATGGACATACATATCACATAAAATTAGCATTGATCTGAAAAGATAGTGACACATTACAGCACATGTATGACTTAATAACTTTATTAACATCGGTCTAATGTGGAAAACCAAGGGTATGACCTTTTTAAGAAGAAACAAACAGATGTCTTGTGTTTATGGATAGGGTGTGAATACTGCTTTCCACTCAGTTATAATCAAAACATTTAGGCTATAAAGGCAAAAAAATAATTAAAATAATTTACATAAAGCTTTAATTTTTACACTACACATTATACTGAACAACAATCAATTTGTGGGTCAATAACCAGCCAATTGTGTGAATAATCGCTTTTCTCCGCTAGATGGCACAAGTGAACTATGTGCAGATGCCACACATAAACAGCACAAACAATCCCTCTACTGGACAATGACGAGAATACAGTGTCAATGCTAGGATTAAAACGTAATTTCAATACGTAACGTAAGTGAAGTATTCGTATAAAATATAAATTCGTATAAAGAATTTCATTCCTGATTTCTGTTGTGGCTTATTTATGAAACATGGTTTAGTATTGTTTTCACATATTGCCTTGCAGTTACTTGTAATACAGTTGCATAATTTGAGATTATACTGCCAAGAAAAATGAATTGGTCCACACACTTTAACTGATTTTTTTCCCTTCAAATGATAGGGCTGGAAAAATGAGCCTCAGAAAAATTGTTGATTAGTCTTGACTTCCTGTTTCACTGGGCTATAAATATGAGGTGACACACAGGCTAATTTCTATAGTTTTTCCTCACTATGGGAAAGACCTGAAAAAACAACGATTTGTGAAAAAAAGGGTTTTCAGCTCACAAATCAATAAGATTTAATGGAAATGGCAATGAGATAATTATTTGATGGTCGGAACACTCATTTGCACTAATTTGTTTGGGAAGGTTTTCACAAACAAACTAAAAAAATAAATAAAATAAGCAAGCATAATTTGCAAAAGTATTTTAAAACCACAAACAGAAAACACAGTTCAGTTTCCTCAAAACTGGTTTCCCTGAAATGAAAGATGATAGTCCAGGACCAGATGTTTTTTTCTGTTGTTATTACCAAGAATTGCTATGACCCCACAATGAAAATAATACAATATTATGCATGAAAGCTGGCTGTTTTTCAAAAGGTTTTCTCCTCTAGAGAAGCATTCACAAATTTACAGTGAATATCAGTAAACTGTACGGGTGGATCTTGTTGTTTGAGAAGTATTAGTAACAGGAACTAACACTAGCTCTGTTTGGTTAACAAAGAATAGTCAGCTAAGGAAAACAGATGAGACCAAAATGCTACTTTTTTTGGTATAGACAGAAAGTCAGCCAATATAGAAAAGTTCCTTATCCCCACTGTGGAGTATGATTTTGGATCTTTAATGCTGTGAGGCTAATTATTTTCCAAAGGCCCTGGACAACTTATTAGGATGCATGTTATCATAACCTCCAGATTTTAAATCAACACCTCAGTGACACAGCAAGCGTTAACTGGACTCTGGTTGGCTCCTTCAATAGGACAATGATCCACACCTCAAAATCAACACAAAAATGATTCACTGCCCATTGTACATAGCAGTCCCTTGACCCAAACTTCAAAGAAAACCTGTGTAATAAGCTGTTAAAGAAAGTCCACAAGGACCTCTGAAACTGGAGGATCTGGAGAGATTTCTGTATGGAGGAATGGTCTCACATTTATTGACAGATGTTCATCCACCTTATTACACATTATAGGAGAAATCTTGGCAAAGAAATATTTTTACTGAATTATTTAACTTTAATTTAATTACTTTAATTACTAATTAAAGATTACATTTTGTGAATGCATTGAATGAATGACCAAGTGGATAATCACCAAAGACACATTTCCATGTTTCTCCTATTATACCAAGGGTGCCAATATTTGTGAAGTTTACTGTATGTACACTTAGTGTTGTCAGGCTGGATGAGCTAAGGGTGGGACTGGTATTCACTAGCCATTATCATCTTTTCCCAGTGGAACCCAAAGGGAAATTCTTTGTTTTGGTTTCCTTTAGCTAATGCTAAAAGTTAGATTATTTTTGTCAGTAGATGAAAGCATTTTGACCGAAGATAAAGGCATGACTTTATCTCTTATGTGAGCTGATATCCAACTAACTGCTGTAGCAGTTTGCATCACATCATTCAATGCAGCGTACACAGGGTACAAAAAGACAACTGATCCGTAATTTCAACTTCATAGACAGAAAAGTTATTGAGGTTTTAAAGTTACAATATATTTAACACAGAGAGAAAGTCAAATAAATCATTTCACTTTATTAAAAATGCAACCTTGTGAAAAGCATGTGGTTTTTAGTACCGACTATACACACAATAGTATAGCACTGTAACAAATAGGACAAACAATCAATCATACGAGGAAAGGGAAATAAATGATTAAATCACATTTTTTTGTTGTTGTTTTTTTAAAAGAGAATGTTGGTGGAGGACACAGAAGATTGATGGCACATAGGCCACAGTAGTCCAGAGGGAGGTGAGGGATGCTGACTGACTTCTATCAGTCCACTGGTTCAGGAAGATCATGGTTGAGTTCAGCATATTCTAACAGGCCTTGCTACAAAAATACAAGCACAAAATGAACTGATGAGATGTATTGTCCTCATTTTCAGAAATCATATTTAATGAAAATCTGTTTATGTTAGTAACATCCTCAAAAAGGAAATGAAAGGTGTCCCATACTCGGAATTTGTGCTCTGCATTTCACCCATCCAAGTGCACACAAAGCAGTGAATAGTGAACAAACCCACATGGTGAACACACACCCGGAGCAGTGGGCAGCCATTCTTGCCCCCCCACAACACACACGACTGCCCCAGAGGAAAGGGAAACATTTCTCTCAAAGGTTACATTTCTCTCTTGTCATTCTTAACATGCTAAACTCAGTTGGAAATCCACATACTCTATCAGAGATGTACACATAATGAGGAAGAGGTGAAAAACCCAGAAGGGAAAATTGGGTTGATGTCAGTTTCAATGTTTTACACTCATCTGAGTTATTCTGTCTCATAATTTTGCTGTACTTCTGTCTTCCTTTCCTCTGGCCTTTCACAGAGTTTATGAAGTCACTGTGTGACTGCTCTCTGTAAATTCTGGCCCTCTGTTCAAGAGGAAACCACGGCCCTGCTATTTGTTCCCATTTGGAAAGTCTGACTGGTGCTTCCTGCTTCACTTACTGTAGACAGAGTTTACAAAACACACACATTCAGTCCTCCATGTGAGTATGTTACATCATCCCACATGACATAGGGATACTGAAGAAAAATAAGATCACATTTAGAGTTCTCTGGTCAGGTGCAGTGATGTGCTGCATCACACACGTAAAATATTACTCATGAAATTAACTTGTTAACAAGTCTCAGATTGCCCTTTGTTAATGAACAAGATGCATGCTTTGATTTAGATTTTAAGTAATTTGCTTAAAAAAGTAAATAAAAGCTGATGAGTTGCATGTCTTCACTGTTCAGATATTTGTATAAAAAAAATGAAGGTAATGAAAAAAATGTGTGAATTTCACTGCAGTAGATAACAAAACAAACCATGTTATACAAACAAATTATGCTGGACCTGGGGTATTTAATCATTTTTAATGTAAGCCATGTCAAACATTAAAAACATAGTTTAACATTATACTTTATTAACTTTTGAAACACACTGGGACACAGGCGATCTCTTAATTATTTCAAAGGTCAGGCAGCAGGATGGAAAGAATGCTTATAAGGTCATAAGAAGTGAGAGAATTAAGGTAACTTACATGGTTAACATGTTCAACAGCCCCTGTACAAACAGTATGAATTAGAAAAAGACATAAATTACAACACAACCCACTGCTCTGTGTGTTTGCATTACATAATGTCATTGGAACTTTTTGTGTGTAAATGTATTTGCTCCTTTTTGCAATGTTGTTTGTACCTTGAGTGGTCTGAAGCTCACTGTACACAGTATCTGTGCCTTTCTTCAGAGGAACTATAGTACACACAAAAAAAAAAAAAAAAAATGTTTAGGATATATCTTAAAAAAGGAAAGAAGAAAGAGGTAGTATAAATAATAATTGTTTTGAAATGCACACTGTAATTCTAGATAATGTAAGTAAGAAGCTATTGGAGTTAGCAGGAACCTAATTAGTCTGGCTTTTCCTGTTTATAAGATGTCTCTAGAAAGTAACCACTGTAATTAAAATCAAGGGCTCTTGATAATTTGGATGGTTAGACCCCACCCAGGAAGCGGTTTTTCTCTAATCAGCTCATGCATGCCAGGGAATCATAATGTTCCTATTCAAAAGGCAAGAGGAGTGAGAGGAGAAAGAAAAGAGATGGATATAGTTTTAAAACGTTGAACTTACGCCGTGTAGGATCTACAGGTTGAGGATGAACCACCTCTGTATACTCTACATCACCTTCATTTGTGGACCCTAGGCTGTCCTGGTCAGCAACATCTGGTGAAAAAACAAACATCAATACAAAGATACAAAATGAAATAGGTTAGAATCATTTCAGGTAGGCCTGTATGTTGGAGGTAAATACTAGTAGCTTGGGGAATGCATGGAAATCAGTATGATTTCAGTATGAAGTGTTGACTCACCTGGAGGTCTTTCACTCCAAACACTCTCTTTGTTATGCACCACCACTGAAACACACAGCAAAAATAGTGCATCAGCCATGGCCATTTACATGCCACTGATCTCAAGTGAAATCAAATTAGCTGAAGTACACACACACATATATATATATAAACAAAACAAATAAGTTCAGAAATTAAGTTATGTAATAAAATGGAACGACACAGGGAAAAAGTACTGAACACATGAAGAAAGGGAGGTGCAAAAAGGCATGGAAAGCCAAGACACCAGCTGAAATCTATCAGTAATTAGAAAACAATCCTGCCCCTAGACAGTGGAAATTAATATTAGCTGGTTCAGTCCCAACACCTACAGTACCAGGATGATGAAGATGAAACAAAGGTGGACATTTCAGCAAGACAATGATCCCAAACACAGCCAAGGAAACTCTCGATTGGTTTCAGAGAAAGAAAACAAAGCTGCTAGAATGGCCCAGTCAATCACCTGACTTGAATCCAATAGAAAATAAGAACTAAAGATCAGAGTTCATAGAAGAGGCCCACAGAACCTTCAAGATTTGAAGACTGAGTGGAAGAATGGGACAAAATCACACCTGAGCAATGTATGTGACTAGTTTCTCCATACAGGAGGCGTCTTGAAGCTGTCATTACCGACAAAGGCTTTTGTACAAAGTAGTAAATAAATTTCAGTAGTTCAACACTTTTCCCCTGTATCATTGCATTTTATTACACATAACTTAATTTCTGAATTTATTTGTTTTGTTTTATTTGTATGTATGGATTACTTGGGTTGGTACCGACATCTGGTGAAAATTTTATGTCAACAGCACCTTTAGAAATATATTTACTGAGAATAAAGGTGACGTGTTCAATACTTATTTCACCCGCTGTATATATATACCAAATCTATCAATTCAAATTTCAGCATGTTGTATGTGTTAGGATTAATCCGCAATCAATGATTAATCAGTCAATTCCCTAAACTAAGCAAAACAGCTTTTGTATATATGCCTTGTTTTCAATTTAGCTACAATCACTGTATCTCCTGAACCTGTGACCTGCTTTTAGAGACATTGCATCTGAAGTAAACTGTTTGGTCTGGACTCTGGTGACACTGTACTACCAGACAAATACAAAAACAAAAAACTGTTCATAAAATAAATATATATATATATATATATATGCAAAGTCAACATTGCCGCTTCAAAATTTTCAAAATATTTAAACCAAAGGAGGTGAATCTTAATAACTAAATTTTAAACGAAGGTTAAAGGTCAGAAAGGTCAGAATGATACCTGGTTTATATGACACCTAGTTAATTCAAATATGTTAAAAGCGACAGAATGTTCAGAATGTTGATGATAATCTTAATATGTTAAGGAATAAATTCCAAATGAGGTAATTCCAAATAAAGAATTTTATTAGATTTTAAGTGCCTACCAAATCTTGTTTCATGTACCAAATACATACACACATTTTTATAGAATATTTAACAGTAAATAAAGCATTAAAACAGATCCTTTTAGAGTAAAATTAAACAAACAACATCAATTAATAAACAAACATATGATGATGGAATCAAAAACACATACTGTATGCAAGCAAAGCAATGAAATTAAAGAAAAAGCACATGGTGAACAGATGATTCAGATGCTGTTAAGATGAATAATGAGCCAAACTGCTGTGATATGGGAGATATGGGAACAATTTTTCAAAAATTCAATCATGTTACCAATCCACAGTTTAATTCCCCTTTTCCTTGTTTAAAATGGAATGATCTGAAAAACTAAAAAGATCTGAGGTGGTTCTAAAAAGCCTTTTTTAATTTAGAAAAGCTTTAATAAATGTTGCCTCCAGTTTCATAATCTTAGAAATTGCTTTGTCTTATGGTTTTCATAACTTCCTGAAAATCTTGGACCCTTCACTACACTATTCACAGGATTCTTTAGTTGTTCCCATTAATTGTGGTGATCTCATGTCCCATAGGTCACCTTCCCCGTCAAGGCATCAAAGTGTAGCTCTGCGCCTGGAATTAGACAGTGAATTTGCCAGTGTCACACAGCGTCTTAATACAGTAACGTTTAGTTGCAACTGGTGACTAAATATCATGATCATAGATTAAGTGATGTAAACATAGATGGCAAAGTCTGAATACTCCTGGTCTGTCATCTTGACTCATGAACAGGATGTGTGTGCGTGTTTGGCAAAACAGCGAATGTGAGGGGGACACTTTGTAAGTATGTGGACACTTCAACATGAAGTCATCTTAATCTGTTCCACACAGTAGAAAGTTGCTCCACCATTGACTTAAGATGAGCTCCCTCATCCTAATTAGAATTGGTTTATTGGGTAGATATGACAAACACACTTTGGGGTACAGTGCAGTGTTTGGCATGTCCCAAAACTACAGAATGAACTTCCATCCACAAGACCGACACTTTTCAGAAACTCCTGCAGGTGTCTGATCATACAAGGACTCAATATGAAATAGTTCTATACATACAGTGCTGCTTGAAAGTTTGTGAACCCTTTAGAAATGTAAAAAAATATTTCTGCATAAATATGACCCAAAACATAATTAGATTTTCACACAAATCCTGAAAGTAGACAAAGAGAAGCCAATCAAACAAATGAGACAAAAATATATACTTTGTCATTTATTTATTGAGAAAAATGATCTGGTGTTAAATATTTGTCAGTGGCAAAAGTATGTGTATCTTCGCTTTCAGTATCTGGTTTGACCCCCTTTTGCAGCAATAATTGCAAGTAACGTTTCTTGTAACTGCTGATCAGTCCTGCACAACGGCTTGCAGGAATTTTAGCCCATTCCTCAGTACAGAACCACTTCAACTCTGTGATGTTGGTGGGTTTTCTCCTATGAACTGCTTGCTTCAGGTACTTCCACAAAATTTCAATTGGATTAAGGTCCGGAATTTGACTCAGTCATTTCAAAACATTAACTTTGTTCTTCTTTAACCATTCTTTGGTAGAAAGACTTGTGTGCTTGGGGTTGTTGTTTTGCTGCATGACCCACTTTCTCTTGAGATTCAGTTCTCGGACAGATGCCCTGATATTTTCCTTCAGAATTTGCTGGTATAATTCAGAATTCATTGTTCCATCAATGATGGAAAGCCATCCTGGACCAGATGCAGCAAAACAGGCCCAAACCATGATACTACTACCACCATGTTTCACAGATGGCATAAGGTTCTTGTGCTGGAATGCAGTGTTTCCTTTCTCCAAACATAACACCGCTCATTTAAACCAAAATGTTCTATTTTGGTCTCATCCATCCACAAAACATTTCTCCAGTATTCCTCTGGCTTGTCCACATGATCTTTAGCAAACTGCAGATGGGCAGCAATGTTCTTTTTGGAGAGCAGTGTCAACAGCACCTTTAGAAATATATTTACTGAGAATAAAGGTGACGTGTTCAATACTTATTTCACCCGCTGTATATATATACCAAATCTATCAATTCAAATTTCAGCATGTTGTATGTGTTAGGATTAATCCGCAATCAATGATTAATCAGTCAATTCCCTAAACTAAGCAAAACAGCTTTTGTATATATGCCTTGTTTTCAATTTAGCTACAATCACTGTATCTCCTGAACCTGTGACCTGCTTTTAGAGACATTGCATCTGAAGTAAACTGTTTGGTCTGGACTCTGGTGACACTGTACTACCAGACAAATACAAAAACAAAAAACTGTTCATAAAATAAATATATATATATATATATATGCAAAGTCAACATTGCCGCTTCAAAATTTTCAAAATATTTAAACCAAAGGAGGTGAATCTTAATAACTAAATTTTAAACGAAGGTTAAAGGTCAGAAATAAATAAATGATACCTGGTTTATATGACACCTAGTTAATTCAAATATGTTAAAAGCGACAGAATGTTGAAAGAGTTTTTGATAATCTTAATATGTTAAGGAATAAATTCCAAATGAGGTAATTCCAAATAAAGAATTTTATTAGATTTTAAGTGCCTACCAAATCTTGTTTCATGTACCAAATACATACACACATTTTTATAGAATATTTAACAGTAAATAAAGCATTAAAACAGATCCTTTTAGAGTAAAATTAAACAAACAACATCAATTAATAAACAAACATATGATGATGGAATCAAAAACACATACTGTATGCAAGCAAAGCAATGAAATTAAAGAAAAAGCACATGGTGAACAGATGATTCAGATGCTGTTAAGATGAATAATGAGCCAAACTGCTGTGATATGGGAGATATGGGAACAATTTTTCAAAAATTCAATCATGTTACCAATCCACAGTTTAATTCCCCTTTTCCTTGTTTAAAATGGAATGATCTGAAAAACTAAAAAGATCTGAGGTGGTTCTAAAAAGCCTTTTTTAATTTAGAAAAGCTTTAATAAATGTTGCCTCCAGTTTCATAATCTTAGAAATTGCTTTGTCTTATGGTTTTCATAACTTCCTGAAAATCTTGGACCCTTCACTACACTATTCACAGGATTCTTTAGTTGTTCCCATTAATTGTGGTGATCTCATGTCCCATAGGTCACCTTCCCCGTCAAGGCATCAAAGTGTAGCTCTGCGCCTGGAATTAGACAGTGAATTTGCCAGTGTCACACAGCGTCTTAATACAGTAACGTTTAGTTGCAACTGGTGACTAAATATCATGATCATAGATTAAGTGATGTAAACATAGATGGCAAAGTCTGAATACTCCTGGTCTGTCATCTTGACTCATGAACAGGATGTGTGTGCGTGTTTGGCAAAACAGCGAATGTGAGGGGGACACTTTGTAAGTATGTGGACACTTCAACATGAAGTCATCTTAATCTGTTCCACACAGTAGAAAGTTGCTCCACCATTGACTTAAGATGAGCTCCCTCATCCTAATTAGAATTGGTTTATTGGGTAGATATGACAAACACACTTTGGGGTACAGTGCAGTGTTTGGCATGTCCCAAAACTACAGAATGAACTTCCATCCACAAGACCGACACTTTTCAGAAACTCCTGCAGGTGTCTGATCATACAAGGACTCAATATGAAATAGTTCTATACATACAGTGCTGCTTGAAAGTTTGTGAACCCTTTAGAAATGTAAAAAAATATTTCTGCATAAATATGACCCAAAACATAATTAGATTTTCACACAAATCCTGAAAGTAGACAAAGAGAAGCCAATCAAACAAATGAGACAAAAATATATACTTTGTCATTTATTTATTGAGAAAAATGATCTGGTGTTAAATATTTGTCAGTGGCAAAAGTATGTGTATCTTCGCTTTCAGTATCTGGTTTGACCCCCTTTTGCAGCAATAATTGCAAGTAACGTTTCTTGTAACTGCTGATCAGTCCTGCACAACGGCTTGCAGGAATTTTAGCCCATTCCTCAGTACAGAACCACTTCAACTCTGTGATGTTGGTGGGTTTTCTCCTATGAACTGCTTGCTTCAGGTACTTCCACAAAATTTCAATTGGATTAAGGTCCGGAATTTGACTCAGTCATTTCAAAACATTAACTTTGTTCTTCTTTAACCATTCTTTGGTAGAAAGATATATATATATGCAAAGTCAACATTGCCGCTTCAAAATTTTCAAAATATTTAAACCAAAGGAGGTGAATCTTAATAACTAAATTTTAAACGAAGGTTAAAGGTCAGAAATAAATAAATGATACCTGGTTTATATGACACCTAGTTAATTCAAATATGTTAAAAGCGACAGAATGTTGAAAGAGTTTTTGATAATCTTAATATGTTAAGGAATAAATTCCAAATGAGGTAATTCCAAATAAAGAATTTTATTAGATTTTAAGTGCCTACCAAATCTTGTTTCATGTACCAAATACATACACACATTTTTATAGAATATTTAACAGTAAATAAAGCATTAAAACAGATCCTTTTAGAGTAAAATTAAACAAACAACATCAATTAATAAACAAACATATGATGATGGAATCAAAAACACATACTGTATGCAAGCAAAGCAATGAAATTAAAGAAAAAGCACATGGTGAACAGATGATTCAGATGCTGTTAAGATGAATAATGAGCCAAACTGCTGTGATATGGGAGATATGGGAACAATTTTTCAAAAATTCAATCATGTTACCAATCCACAGTTTAATTCCCCTTTTCCTTGTTTAAAATGGAATGATCTGAAAAACTAAAAAGATCTGAGGTGGTTCTAAAAAGCCTTTTTTAATTTAGAAAAGCTTTAATAAATGTTGCCTCCAGTTTCATAATCTTAGAAATTGCTTTGTCTTATGGTTTTCATAACTTCCTGAAAATCTTGGACCCTTCACTACACTATTCACAGGATTCTTTAGTTGTTCCCATTAATTGTGGTGATCTCATGTCCCATAGGTCACCTTCCCCGTCAAGGCATCAAAGTGTAGCTCTGCGCCTGGAATTAGACAGTGAATTTGCCAGTGTCACACAGCGTCTTAATACAGTAACGTTTAGTTGCAACTGGTGACTAAATATCATGATCATAGATTAAGTGATGTAAACATAGATGGCAAAGTCTGAATACTCCTGGTCTGTCATCTTGACTCATGAACAGGATGTGTGTGCGTGTTTGGCAAAACAGCGAATGTGAGGGGGACACTTTGTAAGTATGTGGACACTTCAACATGAAGTCATCTTAATCTGTTCCACACAGTAGAAAGTTGCTCCACCATTGACTTAAGATGAGCTCCCTCATCCTAATTAGAATTGGTTTATTGGGTAGATATGACAAACACACTTTGGGGTACAGTGCAGTGTTTGGCATGTCCCAAAACTACAGAATGAACTTCCATCCACAAGACCGACACTTTTCAGAAACTCCTGCAGGTGTCTGATCATACAAGGACTCAATATGAAATAGTTCTATACATACAGTGCTGCTTGAAAGTTTGTGAACCCTTTAGAAATTTAAAAAAATATTTCTGCATAAATATGACCCAAAACATAATTAGATTTTCACACAAATCCTGAAAGTAGACAAAGAGAAGCCAATCAAACAAATGAGACAAAAATATATACTTTGTCATTTATTTATTGAGAAAAATGATCTGGTGTTAAATATTTGTCAGTGGCAAAAGTATGTGTATCTTCGCTTTCAGTATCTGGTTTGACCCCCTTTTGCAGCAATAATTGCAAGTAACGTTTCTTGTAACTGCTGATCAGTCCTGCACAACGGCTTGCAGGAATTTTAGCCCATTCCTCCGTACAGAACCACTTCAACTCTGTGATGTTGGTGGGTTTTCTCCTATGAACTGCTTGCTTCAGGTACTTCCACAAAATTTCAATTGGATTAAGGTCCGGAATTTGACTCAGTCATTTCAAAACATTAACTTTGTTCTTCTTTAACCATTCTTTGGTAGAAAGACTTGTGTGCTTGGGGTTGTTGTTTTGCTGCATGACCCACTTTCTCTTGAGATTCAGTTCTCGGACAGATGCCCTGATATTTTCCTTCAGAATTTGCTGGTATAATTCAGAATTCATTGTTCCATCAATGATGGCAAGCCATCCTGGACCAGATGCAGCAAAACAGGCCCAAACCATGATACTACTACCACCATGTTTCACAGATGGCATAAGGTTCTTGTGCTGGAATGCAGTGTTTCCTTTCTCCAAACATAACACCGCTCATTTAAACCAAAATGTTCTATTATGGTCTCATCCATCCACAAAACATTTCTCCAGTATTCCTCTGGCTTGTCCACATGATCTTTAGCAAACTGCAGACTGGCAGCAATGTTCTTTTTGGAGAGCAGGGGCTTTCTTCTTGTGACTCTGCCATGGACACCATGGTTGTTCTGTGTTCTCCTGATGATGGGCTCATAAACATTAACATTAGCCAATGTGAGAAAGGCCTTTAGTTGCTTAGAAGTTAGCCTGCAGTCCTTTGAAACCTAGTGGACCATTACACGTCTTGCTTTTAGAGTGTTCTTTGTTGGTGGACCACTCCTGGGGAGGGTAACAGTGGTCTTGAATTTGCTCCATTTGTACGCAATCTGTCTGACTGTGGATTTGTGGAGTCCAAACTCTTTAGAGATGGCCAAACCTTTTCTAGCCTGATGAGCAACACCAACTCTTTTTCCGAGGTCCTCAGAGATCTCATTTGTTCGTGCCATGATACACTTCCACAAACATGACCAAACTTTGATAGATCCCTGTTCTTTAAATAAAACAAGGCACACACTGACACCTGATAGTCATCTCACCGATTGAAAACAAGTCTGAAAAACAGATGGACTCTAATTTCACCTTCAAATTAACTGCCAATCCTAGAGAAGCGCTAAACACTCATGCAGTGTGTGTTTCATTCACACTCGTAGCTGGAGGGCGCTCTCGCGCAGAAAGTCGTACGAGGAAATGGCCAAAAGCGTCCAGCTATCGCTGTATGAAAACAGTTTTTTTTCACAGAAAAACAGAAACGTTTGGAAACATGAAGACATTAAAGGTACGATTGCGACAATACACAATATATGGTTTATTTGTGTTTGTCAAGTCATCTCCAGGTAATAAATAAAGTATATG